TTTTTCAAAGAACATGTCCAACAATTATGGTTTCAACAAGCAGAATGCCTCCTTCATGCTCCACCCCCCCTCATCCAAACCCAATAGTCGGAACATTTTCCAGAATTCATATATGAAAACAGCTTTAAAGAGCTGGCCATCCAAAGGCCATCCAAAGAAGAAGGGCCTAAGACATGTAACCAAGCACCCGACAGTGTAGGAACTAGCTCCAGATTTTTGGGAGAAGCACATTCATCACTGATGATGTTACTCACAGCTGCTTTTAGCCAAAACAGCTTCATCTTTTTAGTTGAGCCATCAATGGTTTGCAAAGACTAATTTATCCTTCCTATCAAACCGTATCAGCAATTGACTCTGCAACGATTCTATAAGACAAACTGAGACATTGGAATCATTTTACTTTTTACTTTGGTTTCAGCAGCTCTGCAGCAGCAACAAGGCTCCTTCACAAATTTTCACTGTGAATGAGGTTTCTTCTTCTTAGTTTTTAGCTATTAACTCGCTCACCACAGAACTTGTCTGCATTGTCTCTGTCAGAATGTGGCCTTGGTTGCTGCTCGTTGGGCTCATAAACTCTGCTGAGTCTTAACTTCATCCAGGAGCTTTTGCCCTTGAAACTTGTCCAGTTGAGCGTCATGTTTCCAATAACAGTTGGAATTTGTCTTTTTCATCAGTACTACTTCGTCCACACAAACTAGGCTCGTCTTTACAGTACATTTATTTTTCTTGACAGTCACCATGATTCTTACAGCTACTTTTGTTTATTTTTCATTCACCATGACCAGGAACTGACAGGCACACAGCCACAAGGGACCACCTTGAAGTCTGCCGTGTTATTCTACCACACAAATAATAATTGCTCATATTAGATTTAAGTTTTTTTCATTTTTGAGTTTTTTGTATTCATGGATTCTCTTATGAAATGGATCAGATTGTTCAGGGTCTGTATATAGCACTGGGGCCGGAGGTTCCCCACCCCTAGAATAAAGGAGCCGCACATTTATATCAGATTTGGTCCTTCAGAGAATATATTAGAACCTTTAGATATTTGTCACAATGATACCTCCTGTATGAAACTCAGTCCAGTCTCGCTTTCCTTGATGTGACCCCAACCATTTGTCTGTGACCAGGAGGAGAAGGGGAGGTAAACCAGCAGCAGTAGTTTCTTAACATTACGCTCCTGTTCTTAACAGCTGGAAGCAGGATGCAGGATACAGGTGCAGAAGCTGCTTCCCGAAAGCCACATCAATAAATCCAAGTCAGGTTGATCCCCTGAGACGCCTGGGACAGGATGTCAGTCAAAACACCCTGTGTTGGGCTGTGACTTTGGTGAATATATGTGGAATAAGACAAAATAACAGTAATTTAAAGTGCCATTGACTTCAGGGCAGATTACTGTTGGTCAGTCGGTCAATCACTTTCCTCTCCCTCAGTGTGTCTGACCTGACGACCCCTCATCCTAAGACCAACACGCCCATGGCTTCTCAAATGATTGCTGTCTAAAGAGCGTGGGTACTGGGAAAAGGACAAGTGTACTGCCTTTCAAATGTTTAAAAAAGACAGGGGCTGTTTGTGTATGAATACCAAGTTGAAATCACTTGGTCTCTCAAGTTTTTTCCTTCCTTGTTGAACCAGTCCAAACCCAGCTCCTCCAAGGTCGGTTTACCATGTGTGATGATGTGTTTATCCTATAGAACGCTATTGTTTATTCTCCTCTCAACACAAAGCTCGTGTTTTTCAGCAGCTCACCCTGAGACAGACACTGAGCCAATGAGACTCTTTGTCTCTATGGTGTCTGTGAGGAGCATGTGTGCAATTGGCATGTCACTAAACAATGTCTCTTCTCATCTCATGTTGTCTCATGTACATGCAGAGTCAGACATAGGCAGGACCCAGACACTACTGTAACACTTGTTACCTCTGCCAAGGAGGTTGTGAGGCATTTTTGGCAATTTTCCATGCATGTTTAGAACTATTAAAAATATTTAATAATAATATTTCTATTTATGAACAAGTGAAATATAGTGCGGATCTGGGTAACAATCCAGATTATGTACATTTTTAAACAATTAAAGTATTTGGGGAAAATATGTTTATTCAGTTAATGTACAGTAAAAAATATAAATTTTAACTATATCAGAACAATTCTGTCTACATGGTGCAAAGTATCTGTCTGATCTCAATACATGTGAATACAATATGGTAATAAAGTTGTCAGTCAACCTTAGCGGAGGTATGGGAGTGTCCTTCTAGTAGTTTTTTGTGTTAAACACTGTTTATTATGGGAATTTCTTGACTATATTTGTTAATTGGTGGTTTATTACAAACATATTGAACTTGGAAAGACTCAATCAAAACACTGTCAAAATGTAAAGTGTGTGATATTATTCCCACCGAGATTTTCTGCTGAACAATCTGGTCTGTGTAAGTGTTTCAAAAACTCACAGCCTTTATGACTTAATACTAAAATACTAAAGTAGCTGTATAGTCATTTTAGTTTTTCTGGCCTCATGATGAGAGTTTTCTGGGTGGAGTTAAAAACCCAGTTGTGTTCTGATCCACCGTCCACTTGTATATTTTCCTTCAGTCTCCATCTTCTCATCAGTCAGTCTCACTGGAAGTCCTTCTGGAATTATGTCAGCTGCAGACGTATTTTGAAAGAATGGGAGGGGTGCACTTTCTCATTTACACAGAAATGTAATACTATTGGTGGGTGCAGCCCTTTCCACGGCTGTTATTCTTGCATTTAGTGTGCGGCCGTATGGCATTTCCATAATGGGCCCAAGACTGTCTCTGCCTGCTATGTGCATGGTGGTGGATGTCAGGGTGGGGAATGCATTCCTCACTAGGGCTGCAACTCATAAGAATTTTCATCAGTTCATCAGTTCAACTCGTTTATATTTATTTACATATTCTATTAAATATCAAATAAAGCTAAATATCCCTCACAGGCCACCAGACTGAAAGAATTAATCAATGACCAAGTTAAATGGCACTCAGTGGAGCGCATACCAACGCCCAATAGTCCCCCTCAAATTCAATCAAGCTGCGCACAATTACACACACACTCATAGATGTCAGTTCCCTGAATATACAGGACTTTTTTTTAATCTGGATCAATGAATTGTTCTATGGAGATAGGTGAAAATTTGAAAAATAGGACCCATCTGCCAATGTCAAAGAAAGCGATAAAAACAACATTTGATCTGAGCCGAAGCTTAAAAGTTTTTCTTTCGTGGAGTTGTTTTTACGTAATACTTCTGACAAACAAACAAAAACTGTCATGGGTATAAACATAACCACCTTGGCGGATGTAATCATCAGTGTCTTTATTAGTTGGATTTGGGGCGGAAACAATTTGTCATTCTAGCCACAGGAAAATAATCTATCTAATCTATTTTTGATCAATTAATCCAGCTGCTCTCAAACTGTTCACAGGGAATTGAATATTCTAGGGTTTTGAACAAACAATTTAACAAAAAAGGATATTTTGCCACATCACTTTGACTTTAATCTAATTATTATGAACATAATTGGCGTACTAATCAGCAATGGAAATATCCATTAGCTGCAGCCTCAAACTGGACAATTTAACAATCAACAACTTATTTTAGTACTACTCCACTTTCATCCTTAAAGAGTCTCACGTTGAAAGAATCAGTTCTGGCTTTTGCAGTTGTTAAATGAGGTCTTACTCCCACAAATTGTTGCTGCCTGGAGTTGTACTCCACCCAAATCTCTTTATTATGCAACACTCTCCATTCTGGCCTTGAATATAGCGGCAGTAAAAAGTAAGAAGGAGGATCAGTTTACAAGGAAAGTTTCCAATGAAAAATGCAAATGTTCAATGTAGCTTTTCAAATCTCTCCTCTCCTGTAGCACAGTTCACGTCTCTGCTGTAAAAAAAACTTCTGGATTTTCTTCTGGATGATTGATTGTGAAAACTTGTAGCAGAATTTATTTATGTTTGGAAGAAAAGACAGAATATTTAAAAACTGAGCTATAAAATAACATGTAATTTTGTAATTAAAGGAAATGCTTGAATACTACAACTTATGAAGGTACTTGCATGATTCAAACATAAAATACGATACAATCCAGTACAGTAATAAAAATTGCACGGACAACTGGTGTACAGTACATGAATTCAAAGAGGGTGAGCAAGAAAACATCTGCACGATTCATTATTTATTTAATAACCAAGTAAACATTTGTCTTAGATTTTATTTCAATTTACTTATTTGTTTCCTCTCTTTTTAATTAAATTAAATGTTATTTTTATAGGGCCAAATCAGGAGGGTTTTTACTGCCTGTAGTCACAATAGTGAAGTGTGTGTCTGTGTGTCTTTGTCTGGATGTTTTTAACATCTCAAGGACATCACTCAAGCCCTAACCGACTGTAATTGTTCTTATTTTCTGCACACAGCCACTTTATTGAAAATAGCTACAGTGTGTTGTGTCTGCATTAATTTGTATACTGTCTTGTAAGTGTTTGTGTACTCTTGTCTTTACTGGGTGTGTGTCTGATTTTTATTTTTTTTTTTACATTTACCCACATGCCTGTGTATATAAATATTTTTTTTCCCTCACTGTTTATTTTTGCAGTTCCTTACTGTGCATTTCTACCCTACCATTTAACTACCAAATGCTTTTTTTTGTCTCCTTGAGGGTTATTTCATCATTGTGATTTTAGAGCTCGAGCTCCAGCGGGAGAGAGAAAACAATTTAGCTATCCTTAGAGAAATATTTTCACTTCCCAGCTTAAGAAGTGATGTCATGTCTGAAAACCTGCAGAAAAAAAAAAAGATAAATGTGTTATTTTAAGTTCATTAACTTGGATTAAACCTTCTTTCTGGTCTTGGCAATGGCCAAGCTCCACATATCAGTTTAAGGGGACCAGCACGGTTTCTCCATATATAGTGAATATTCTCTTTTAGCTTCGTGTATGACCTGGCTCGTTCTTATCTGAGAGTTTTTCTTCTGTTTTGCTTTAATTTCAGCGGCACTTCCCTTCATCATTATGACCATTGTGTTCAAGCCATATGAAAGGGGCGTTTACTGTGATGATGAGAGCATCATGTACCCATTAAAACCAGACACCATCACCCACGGCATGCTGGCGGCTGTTACCATCTCCTGCACGGTCATCATTGTAAGTTTTACCCCAAACATCAATGTTGCCTAACTTCTTTTTCTCTGAGAGTTTCATCTCATCCATTCTCATCATCCTGTGTTATTTTCTCCATGACTAAATGGACTTTAGGAACTGGTTAAAGTGTTGTTGTATGAGGAAATGTAAGGGTACTTCTTTTTCTCCAGATCTCCTCTGGAGAGGCGTACCTGGTTTACAGCAAGAGGATATACTCTAACTCAGACTTCAACCAGTACGTAGTCGCGCTCTACAAGGTCGTGGGCACCTTCTTGTTTGGGGCAGCCGTCAGCCAGTCGCTGACAGACCTCGCCAAGTTCACCATCGGCCGTCCGAGGCCTAACTTCATGGCTGTATGTGACCCCAAGGTCTGCACGGGATACATGACTTCGATCAACTGCACAGGCAAACCGCAGGACGTCACAGAGTCCAGGTAGGAAGACAACTGAGCTTTTACTTAGAACTCAGAGTGGAAAATAGAATGGCATCGATAGAGCACATACAGTATCTCCGCCAAGTCCCCTTAAATTCAACCAAGCTGCAACAAATCAACTATAAATCCAACAAAAACTCAAATACAACCAAATATATAGAACCCTAGATAACTTTGTTTTGCTCTAAGGACAATGATGAAAATTAGATTCCTCAGTATAAAATGTGATGCAGCTACATAAAAGTCTTTGTTTTTTCCAGATTGTCCTTCTACTCTGGCCACTCCTCTTTTGGGATGTACTGCATGCTCTTCCTTGCAGTAAGTACAACACACATTCCTCAGTCCATCCCAGAAAATCACACAAAACACAACGTAAACATGCAACAGTAAATATAGATGTGTCACCATGCAACCAGCTCAGTGTGACTCAGGCATGAAAGTCCCCAGATGGTCTCATCATCAGAACAGATTTATGCATTTGGATCTGCAGTCAAGGGCTTATTGTTGAGAGGATGAAAAGGCTCATAGATCCAGTTTCTGCTCGTGGACACAAAAGGGACAAGGCAAGAGTTCAGTGGAGGAATGTGGACAGTGAGAGACGGGATCTGGAGACGTCTGCTGCCTCTTTCCCAGCAATGATGTAGGCAGAGCATGTGCTGCTGCTGTGTTCCGTATCCACTTCATTGCCCTTGGCCTCGTTTCTTTCTGTTATAAGCCTGCAGGCACCGGACAGTGAGTTTCAGGAGGCCAAGCAAAGCAACATTGTTCAGTTCAGAGAAAATTCCATTTGAGAGAGAAAGAAGGATCTCTCCAGCTAGTGTGCTGTCAGGAGTCTGGTCTGCACTCTCTGTTTTACCAGATGAATAAGAGTTAAGCTGTGATATCCAGGCCGCAGGGTTCAGTGCAGAGAGGCTGTGCATGAGGCAGTAGGGGTGATCGTAGTGCGATGCCAAGTTTTGCACTTTCAGCAGTAACCAAGCAGACGCTTAGTGACGTCTGTGCTGTTGCCAGGTTCATACGTATTTTGGCATCCACTGCTTTCCAGCAAAATAAAGGGTTTCAGTCGTGTAGTGGACATAAATCAGCCTCATACTCAACACCCTTTTACATTCAAATCCAATTTGAGACTTATACCAGCTACTGTTTCTGCCTTAGAGACACATGAACTCATGCTTTAAGTGAATAGACGTTTTTATATTGGTGTTTGCAGTGAAATAACATGTACTCTGAAACCTGACAGACTGATTGTTTGAGCATAAACACAGAAACTTGACTGCTATGCTGACATATGTTTTAAATATATAAAATTACATTAATGCAAATAAAATTTTTCTCCTTCCTCTTCCCCTCATCCCCAAATCATCTCCCACTCTCTTCTCTTCTTTCACCCTGTTCCGTTCCTCCAGCTTTACGTGCAGGCCAGACTGGTGGCTAAGTGGGCTAGACTCCTCCGGCCCACAATTCAGTTCTTCCTGGTAGCCTTTGCGGTGTATGTGGGTTACACCCGAGTCTCTGATTACAAGCATCACTGGAGCGACGTGCTGGTGGGGCTGCTGCAGGGAGCGCTGATCGCTGTGCTCAACGTGAGTTCAAATTCATTCAAGGAAATTCCCTGCACGGTGAAAGAAACTTTCGTGACATTAGACAGTCTGTGTCTTCGCCAAATGATGCTCAGAGATTTCTATGATCTGGTGTCGAGTCCTAACTTACCTAAACTGCGAAGAGTCAAGATTGAAAACTTTTTTGTCCCACGGGAAATAAAGGCTGCCACATTAAAAAATGCAGCCGTAAGTGCATTCAGGTACATGTAAGTCTAGATGGACTTTTCCCTTATCCCCAAAATCAAATCTTGTTGTCTTTCCTCTATGTATGGCTCCTTATTTTCATCCTGAGATATATGTGTCCTTCCGATTTTGCATCCATCACGTGTTATGCCCAGGCCACACAGAATGTGTGAGCATGTTTCCTTTGAGTGAGCCGCACTGCTCTTCTAGTGAGTCGGAGTCTCGCCTATTTTTTCCCCAGTTCTCAGCAAAATAGACAGAGAAAATGATCTTTCACCACAGTTTCAATGTCTAACCTCAGCATAAGAAACATGAATACACTTCCCGTACCTGTCTCAAAGTCAAAGCCCTCTAGCGTTACTGTTGACTGAATCCAGTCATTTGTTGTAACAAGGTTTTGGAGGAGTTGAAGATGCGCGGCTTCGTACCATAGTATGCTAGCATTTAGTTAACTTCATAGCCCGACAGAAAATATGGTACTCATACCAGAAAGCTCACATAGCAGCTCTAGGGCATGTCCACTGCAGACACTCCCTGTGTGAACAACAGGCGCTTGAGAGATGCAGCAGATCGCAGCCATCACGCACTGCACACGCACCCAGTGTGGCATGAGCGTTAGAAACATCAACACGCCCACATGCTTGCTGTGAATCCTCCAGATTCTCCTGTTGTGTTCCCACATGGGCTCATTTGGACTTTATCCAGTGTTTTTATAAGAGGACTGGCAGAGGAACTCTGGAGAAAGTCCAGAGCTTCTGACACAACCATTTGTGTTTTCACATACTGTCCCTCCGGAAAATGAAGAAAACAGCTACAGTTTCTCATCTCACATCCTCCTTCAGTCCTGAGTTTAAGAGATTCACTGAAAGAGGAAGCAAAGGAGTTTTTATGGTCTCTTCCTGTATTTATTTGGAACCCGCAGAATCTACCTGATGGAAGCAGTTCATGATCTGAGTACAGGACGTGGGTTTGTGAGAATATACATAAGCTCTTATGTTATTCAGAAAACATTTACCTCCTATTTGTCTGTGTGAATCAGTGCTTACGTGCAGAGCTTTTAGGATGTTTTAATTTTCTCTTAAGTGTTTCCAGCCTCGTACCTGTTGACGTCTTGCTTCTGTGGTTTCAGGCTTTAGGCAAAGCAAACACAGGTGGCACTGTCCAGATCATGAGAAAGACATTTAATGGAAATCTGAACAGCCATTGATACTTCCTTCAAAGCAGAGCAGCTGTTGGTGAATCAACTTTACAGCTTTATGAGTGTGACTTGACACGAACCCACACACACACACACACACTCAGTCACACCGGCAGGTTCTTCGTCCATTCTCCTCACTCCATCCAGCTGGGCTCCTTTTATTGTTTGGCCACTTCCCTGTTTTGATTGAAACACTGTCAGCACTGCCTTGTGGAAACTCTGCAGTGGCAGAGTGTGTGTGTTTGTGCATGTGCGTGCGTCCATGTATGATTAATGGGGAAATGAGCCCGCGCCTTTCGGCCTTCACGTTGCTCTGCGCAATTAGAGACCCTCCAGGGTATAGTTTTATGGCCAAAGGGGTTGTGCCTGTTCTCTGTGTGTGTTCCACTCAGATGTGCACGAGTGTGTGAGTGTTAGTGTGTCACTCAACAGCTGTGCACAGATCTGTCCAGACACATGTAATCACTGTTTCCAGACCTGCCCTCGTACCATATACCTCCTCTGTATCTGTCACACAGGAGACACTCCACAATCTCTGTGGGAAAAATATCCACTAACTAACCTCTCCTCATCTTCCTCTTCTCCTCATTCTCAACATCTTCCTTATCCTCTTCCGGTCTTACTCCACTTCCTCTCCTCTTCTCTTCCTACTCTTTTCTCCTCTCCCTCCTCCTCCTCTCCTCTTCCTCTTTTTTCCCTGTCCTCTTCCTTCCTCTCCTCTTTTCCACAGGTGCGCTTCGTGTCAGACTTCTTCAAGAAGCGTCCCCCACGTTGCACGAGGCAAGACACCCCCGACAGCGAGGAGCCAGAGAGGAAACCCAGCCTGCAGATCGCAGACTCTGAGCACACTAACCATTACAACTACCACCACAATCCTGGCCCTGTGTGATGATGGGGGGCTGATACCAGGGGGAAGAAAGGCTGCAGCCTTGAGACCCCAAACCTGTGTGATGAGGGTCTAACCCAAGGGTCTTCAACCGTCATTGACTCTTTGCTGGATGTGAAAGTTCTATGACTATGAAATGTTAAATCTTGGCCACATGTGTTCCGGTCTACAACCAGACCTTTGTATCTCTGTTTGAAAGGAGTAAAGCTCGGGATCTGGTCTGTAGCTTGCAGCCTTCAAGACCCCAACTCTCTCTCTCTCTCTCCCACTCTCTCTCTCTCTCCCTCTCCCTCTCCCTCTCCCTCTCTCTCTCTCTCTCTCTCCATATGTATCAACCACTCACACCCCCACCTGCTCCTCAACCACTGGACTGACTGAGGGGGCTGCGTCCCATCGCCAGGTCTCTGAGCCCCCTGTTAAAGGCGCCGCGATGACTTCCTGCTCTCCTGTAAGAGAGAGAGGAGCATATTGTTTGTAAGACATCATTGTGGATGTTCAAGTGTATTTGCTTAAAGCTGCATTGAGGGAAAAGAAAAACTCCAGACACACAGCTATGATATATAGTTGCCTTATTAAGTGCTTGTGGCTACTTGTTAGTAGAAAGGCGACAAAGCATAAGGAGAGAAACCTAGACATGCCAATTACAGCCCTTTTCTGGCCATCGGATGAATGTAGGCTGATTTTTATTTTGTGCTTATACATATATCGGCCCAACAAATGACTCGCCTTAGCCATATTGCAGTACAGCTGCCTATAGTTTTTATCTGTCAAGAGCAGTTTGAATCTGGACGTGCTGTGAGATACCGTGGGATTGGCTGTAGCAACACAATTTTTACACTAATATCAAATATATTGCTTCATGGAGCACTAATGTGTTTTGTATGTATGTTTTTAATTTTCATTTAGAAGTTAATTTAGTTTTTAGAGCACCTTACGCTGGTCACTCACCAGGAAGCTTGTTGACAACAGCTCATATCGGATGAGCTCATTTTCTCCGAATGCCGAGGCTCACAGTCTGAGCTGCTGCAGGCCATCCGAGCACTGCTTTAAAACAAGAAGTATATACATTTAACCAACATGACAAGCTTTAAGCATCACATAGAGATAAATCCATAGATCTGAAATAAAATGACAATATGCCCCTGCCAGCTGTTTTAACTGCCTGGTGTAAACCATAAGCTCTGTCTCAATTCAAGGGCTGCAGAAGACTGATCGCATCACAGCAGTACTTGATTGTCCAATTTCTTCAAATATGGCCGACAAATGCGTCCTTCTATCCCAACCTATCCCAGGATTCATTGTGCTTCAGTGAATAACCATTTACGAGACATCTAATGCCTGAGTATCGCGCCTCAACTCAACTAAAAAGCTAACAAGTTAAAAAAAAAAAAACAGGGTATAAAAACTTTCTCGTCATGGTCAACTTCAGCTCTGTTGCTGGGCAACAGCAATAAGAGTGGGAAGAGCTGAATATGCTGATCACACAAAACCATCTAATTTCGGTTCGGCCTTCACAGTCAACGCAGCCCACGAAGGTGGTGGTCTTTGTGCAGCCCCTGAATTGAAACTCAGCAATAGACTTTATATAAAGATGGATGAAGCATCTCCACGTCCTCCCACTATCCAGAAACGAAGCCAAAATATCCCAGATCAGAATATTCTAGCGACCAAGGTATTGAATCGCGTTAACAAGCCACCGCTGACACAAGTACTCGACCAATAGTAGATCAGTCTCAACTGTCAGTCATCGCTTTTACCGCATCAAAAAAAACAACTTAAGGGTAAAATTACCACTTGGAAAAAAAACATTAGTGTGAGAACTACTTTAAAAGGAATGAAAACATCTTCGAAAAATGTATTGGCATGTACTTTTACTTTTTCGTTTGGTCCATGTCACATCGACTATCATGGAGGAGGCAGGATGTATGACCTGTAGTGTAGCCAGACAGCGATCATGTCATCCATCTTGACATTTCCCATTGGAGATCTCCACTGCCTGATATTCTATAAATGGAGTAAACAAAAATGTTGCGATATAGATGCTTTGGCTTCAGTTTTGGGAGCTGTCATGTCGTCCATCTTTATATACGGCCTGTTATTTACTATGACAAAAGTGCCTACGTAGATTTGTCACTCTTACTGATATATTTAGATCAAGTCAGTATTTAACAGTAGACTGTGTGCAGACTGGGTAAATTCACCTTTAACAGTAGTGATGCTTTTCTAAAATGTGTAAATTTAATTGTGGAGTGATTGCCTTATATTATACTTCCCCTGTGTGTAATGGACTGCAGAGGTAGGAACCATTGGTGCAGAAGTTAATGAACTTAATGCATCATACCACTACGACTATACTGCCAATCACATATTGACCAATCTGGCCTCCATTTTGTTTTGTTTTTTCGCTCTCTGTCTTGTGTTTTTATGTAATTTCTCAAATAATAGTAAGAAAAGAAGGATGAGACAACCATTTTGAAAATGATGTTTAATTTATTTTAAATACAAGAAGCTTCTCTATTAACTTTAACAAGGTTGGAGTTGCCAGCCCTGTTAAGGTTTTTTGTGCAATCACCCTTGCTTGCCACTATGAGCCACAAATACTGTACTTTCTACTAATTCTATGAGACATGTTTCATGTTCTGTGAAGGATGTATATACGCTTGTATGTTTTTATTTTCACATGTAGGCAGATTTTAAATTCACCTGTACAGTGTGCTTTTTTTGGCCTGTGCCTTCACAGACTGGTCCCTATTGGAGCTACCACACAAATGGATCCGATTCCAAACGTCCAAACGTGAGCCAGATGCCTTGGCAGGGCTTTTAAAATGCTGTTGTAATGATAATGGGTTACATACCTAACTGTGTTTTTGAAGCGGGTAACACAGCTCCATTCCCACTTCAAAGAATCGTCTACGTTCCTTTTCCCCTTCCTGTGTTGATAGATGGGGTGAGTAGAGTCTCCTCTGCAGTTTTCGTACAGAACCCCAGTGGAATGATGACAGATCACTCAGACCTCAGTTTTAATGGAGGGTAGAGAAAAAGAAGATGGAGTTAGATGGAGACCTCCACCTGATAGTGATTGTGAGGCCCTGAAGGTGAGCTGGGTCTAGGGAGAGGCGGGGCACTATTAGGAGTGTGGGGTAACCTACGGTAAACTTTGGGTCCCCGGGGACGACTACACATTTAAAACACAGATTTACAACAAGAAACAGCTGGAACTGGTTGCGGTGAAGTGCCCCCCCCCCATTCCCTACATCTAAATCATGTGTGTGTTACTGCAGCCTGCAGACCAATAGCACAAATGAGGACGAGGATGTAGGAACGTCATGGAATTTGATTTCCCCCTCTGGAAACCCAGGTTCCCAGCTGGTTACGTGGCTCCATGTGTGTTTTATGTTTTACTGGATCAGTGCTTCAGAATGGGCACTGGATGACCAAGCTTATATATGTCAACTTGTAGCTATGGTTCATGTTGTGCTTTTGTGTATAGATTATATCTATAGTCTTTAAATCAGAGAATTTTAAATAAAGATATAATCCACATTCACTTCTGTTGTTTTGCTTTTATACATTTAGAGTCACACAGACAAAAAACACTAACCTCTGGTATTATTAAGTTTTGATATCAGTAGCCCAGATTTTGAAATATGCATCTTTTAGATTTCTGCATCCCAGGACGACAGAAGTGATTTTGTTGAGCTCAGAACACACTCAACTTCCTCAGTAAAATACTCTACCATGCAGTAAGTGTTGATGATCCACAGTGCATTGTTTTATTTCTATAACTGCACGTATGACCTTTATTCTCTCTACTGAATCTTTTATTTCTGCAGGCAATATTTTGAATAGAATATTCATCCATGCATGGAGGACAGCAAAGTACACCAATAATTGCTGTGTTCTCTTTGTGCTGTGTTAGACTTGATAATCAAGGAAGAATGATTTAAAAAAAAAAAAAGAAAAGAAAAGGAAATCCTTCTCATTTGAATTATAGGAGGTGGTGGTAAATAGCAATAGATGGATTCAGTAAGGGTTAATCAATGCTCCCATGCTGCCTCAGCGTGTCCAGGCCAGAGAATGGAGCAAAAATAAACACGTGTATTTATGACAGAATAAACACTGGGCCCATGGGGACAGTTGTGGGTGTTTTGTTGGCGGCTTGCACTGAAAACCACTGTCATCCCTCATTTAAAACAATAATGCTCACTCCAATGTCGTGAAAGTTGCGCGTTTGTGGGGCTGCTTCTCACTGCGGTGTCAAAACAACTGGGAATTCAACACATTAATTAACATTACGTTTTATTTTACGTGAATACTTTATCCTTAACATCTTATTGTAAATGTACCTTTAATGAGATGTAGTCTCAGTAATAGAACTTGCTGAACATCATATCTGCCTGTGGTTGTGCGGTGAGAAACTATCCATCTGGAAAATATTACCCAACACATACATTAGATCTACTGTCTGCCTGAGGCCTAAATGAGGCAGTAGAATCTCTACCTGGAGCAGATCACTAGTTTCCCTTGACTTTACATTATTGTCATAACCGGACACTAAACCACCAGCCTGAAATGAATCAAGGTGAAACTTTAGAATAACAAATATTTCATGATAACTCATGGAAGGCTGTTGAGTTAAAGGTACAGTGTGTAGAATTTTGTGATATCTAGTGTTTAAATTGGATGTCGCAGCTGAACACCCCTCACCTCACCCGCTCCTTCCAAACATGAAAAAGAACCTGTGACAGCCTTTAATTGTCATAAAAACTCAAAAGGTGTTTAGTTTGTCCAGTCTGGACTAATGTAAAAAACATGGCGGCCTCCGTAGAGAGGGTCCCCTCGATGTAAATATAAAGTATTTAAATATAAAGGGCCTTTTCTGGTGTAAAGAAAACTACAATTCATACAATTTAGATGAAACGAACTAGTGAAAACATCATGAGGATTATTCTACATTCAATTTCTGCCAATAGTTTCCTTTCACCTAAATCTTACACACTGGACCTTTAAGTGACACAAACAGAAAATAGATCACAAATCATGATTATTCTGGTCTGCGGGGATGGAGTCCGGCGAGTGACCGGGAGCCTGGTGAGAAGTGGCTCTTGAGATGAGCGGTTTTGGGAAAACCTCAGCACAGGAAGCAGTAAAGCTTGACGGAAAAAAGGATTGCCAGTATTTTGGATGTATGTGGTGGACGACGCTGGGTGCTACAATCTCCACCGTTCATCCCACTTTGGTCAGTGTCCCTGTGGGCGACAACCATTTCTGGTTCCAAGGTGGAATTTCAGTACCAGTGGGTGAGAAGAATGAATATGGGACTGGGTTGCTGCTAGAAATAACATGATCCATAATATCTCTACTTGTAAAAATTGACTTTGGATCCTGAAACAGTGAAAATAGATGCCTCTTTTATTTTTTCTTGGCTTTACTGTAATATAGAGTAAAAGCAGGCCAGAGAAAGAAAACTGTCCAGTAAATTATATTTTCATTACTGTGTTCACAGGATTATGTAAAAACTACTGAACCTATTTTATTGAAGCGAAGGGTGCAGTGTGGGTCAGGGAAGATCCCGTCAACTTCAGGAGCTGATTCAGTTAAGTGGTTGAATCCAGGATTTGTTTTAATCTTTCTTAACCATATAGGGCAAAGAGATGTAGTAAGGGACATTTTCTGACATTTTTTCTCAATTTCTCAAGAAAAAACTGCAAAAAAATCAGGCAACTTAGAGGACTGATATCTATGAGTATGCGAAAGTTGGAGCAGCTTGATTGACTTTAAGGAGACTGTTGGGCCTTAACAGATGGACACACACTACTGAGTGCTATTCTAGTTTAAGAAACACAGTGTCAAACTGGTTCACAGGATTAAAAGTCAAATAATGCATGGTCTGGATACAGGCATGGTCTTTTTCTTCAACCTGTGTTAGATTGAAGTTAGTTAATAAGGTTTGTAATTATCAAGTTAATTTATTAAGTAAATTGAACAGGTTAAGTTAAGAAGTTAAGTTAACAGGTCCGAGCTGCGGCATGGTTCTTCTGCAGGACATACTGTCTCTCAGTATTGGGTGGCTGTGGTTTGGGGGGTAGAGAGGGTCATCCACTATAACAAGAAGGTCATTGGTTCGATCTCTGGCTCCTCGCAGTCCGAATTGTCATTGGGCAGGATACTGAACCTTTAACTGCCACTTCACCGACAGTGTATGAATTGCGTGTCATAGAAAATGTGCTGCATGTAAAGCTCTGCATGAATGTGTGTGAATGAGTGAATGTGACTGTAAAGTTCTTTGTGTGGTCGACATAACTGGAAAAGCACAAATACAATCCATTAGTTGTTGACTTTACATGACAAGCAGAGTGAGTGATCTGAAATCAGTTGTGTACTAATTTCTTCTGTT